CACCGGTCGTCGAAGAAGTAGCGTCAGAAGAAGTATCAGTACCGGTAGAAGAGGCACTAGGAGAGGAACTTGCTGCAGAAGACGAACCCGCTAACCCTCTTGTAGACGAAGTAGTAGCAGAGCAAGTGGCGCCGGTCGCCGAAGAAGTAGCAGGAGAGGAATCCGCTGCAAAAGACGAACCCACTGCACCTCTTGTAGACGAAGTAACAGTAGTACCAGCAGGGGCCGCGGAACCTACTGAAGCAGCAGTAGTCACCGGAGAAGATGTCCCCGYCGCACCGATTGTGGAGGAAGAAATACTGCAGGAAGATGTGGCAGACGAGGAACTTCCCGAAGATTTGGATAGTGATGTCGATGAAACCAATGAGAAGTTTGGATTCGATCTGGACTCTGGAAACAACAACGGGAACGATGATTATTTAGATGCAGGAATTGGGCTCGATGKTTATGGAGTGGATGAAACCATGAACGAATCGGGATTCGATGAAGACTACGGAGACACTGATTTGTACGACGACGCACAAGATGGGCTGGATGCTTTTGGTGTGGATGAAGCCCAAAACGGTGAAGACTACGGAGGTAATTACGAGTTYGGGGCGGATTTTGATGCCTCCGACGCCGAGGAAAATGTAGCCGGAACTAMCGACAATACGTTCGATACTCACTCGGCAGATTTGGGAGCGGACGCTCCGAATGGTATTCTCACCGATGACAACTGGTACGATGATGATGATAGCAGCGCGGCCGGGCCAGCTCTACTGTTTCTCCTCTTTTTGTTGGGGGTATTCCTATACAGACGAAAGAGGCGCGCTGCTGCCAACGATGCCTACACCGGAATGCGTGGTGGATACCGCCCGGTTCCCGGGGCCGAGAAGCAGCACGTGAAGTAATTCCTAACGGTAGTGCTAACAAGCTATGCTGACACTCCTTCAAGCGAAACGAATACCCACATTGATTCACACTAAACAGAGAAACGACGCCAGTAATTTTAATCACACAAGAAATTCATATCACATCACCTGTCCAAAACAAAGAAGGGTTTGGTCATTGCTTTGAGCATACCATTCACTTAGGTACGCGTAGGCTCGACCACCTTCCATTCCAGTTCTTCCTGCACAATGTGCTGCACAATGTGCTGCACAATGTGCTGCACAATGTGCTGCACAATGTGCTGCACAATGTCAAGCATGCATTTTGTTCTATATTTTTTATTTTGCTCCGTTTGTCATTCCGTCACAGCGTCTCGTCGATCACACCAATGGCTATCGTTTCGCCGCCCCTCCGCAGGACAAAACGCCCGAGGGATCGGCATTCGGAGAAGGCCTCCATCACGATCTTGTCGCTCACGKTGAGCTCCACGCTGGCGCTAACGCCCCTGGTCAGGGCGCGGGGGCGCTCCTTTTTCACGGACCCGTCCCGCTTTAGAACCGCCACGAGCTTTGTCAGCACCGTGGGAACGTCGAGGCTGTGCATGTGGAAAATCACCTGCGCCCCCCGGATGATCGGCACGGAAAGGTCGTCCATCACGACGATCCTGGCCCTGGCCTTTCGGGTGAGGGGTGGCCTGGCATTGGGGAAGCAGAGAATGTTCCCGGTGGAGAGGCGCATGATATCGATGTCGGTTACGACGAGCTGGACCGTGTCGCCKGCCGTGGCCACCGATAGCCGCCTRGGATCGTCGCTTCCGTCCGATGGGGGCTGCAGGTGTTCGAGCTTGGAGACCTTTACGATGTCTCCCACCGGCAAAACTACCAAGGAATCGCCCACTTCGACAAACCCCTGAATGACGCGACCGCGGGTCACTATCCCTTTCCCTTCCGCAAAGACATCCGTGACGATAAATCGCAGGGGTTTCTCTGTTAGATAATAATAATAATTGTTGTTGWTGATGATGATAATGACCACGACGACGATAATGACGATGATTGTTGTGTTTTCGTGATTTCGACAAGAATCGTAAAATTTCGAAAAACCAAAAAGTGAGTTGAACGGATCATCGAAGGACTCCTAGGATCGATTTTTCAAGCAAACGARCACTGAAAGTAGGGCACACATGTTTCTAGCAACGGTTGCCTCCGAGACGCACCTATGTGTCGRTTGGCGGGGAAAAAGTCGTTTACGGCTTCCAACAGCGTAGGCCCCTTGTACCACTYTGATAGCTCGGGGCTTTTTCGGGCCTTTACGTTTTCGCCGGCCAAACCGGAAATAGGGACAAACTTGATGCGCTTGGGCTTGAATTCTTGCTTGAGCAAAAAGTCCTTTACCTTGTTCTGGATTTCTTGGTACCGCTCCTCTTTCCATCCCTCCACGTCTAGTTTGTTGACGGCAACAATGATCTGCGTGACGCCCAGCCCCCTCGCGAGCATGATGTGTTCCTTGGTTTGGCCTCCCCCCGTGAATCCCGCCTCGAATTCCCCCGTCACSGCTGCGATCACGAGAATGGCAACGTCCGCGTTGGCGGCACCCGTGATCATCCTGTGTTGTAAAAGGGCGGAAGAGACGAAGGAATCCATCGCCAAATCGCAAACGACAAACGAGGTGGACGGGAAGTGTCCCCCCCMAAAAAAGAATGGTTGAGACGAACAGAAATTCCAAAATCGGTTTGGCAAAGAGTGCATCGATGAGCGGTTTGTTCCACAACACGGGAGCCTGGATCTGCTTCCAATCGGCTTTGGAGAAAAYCGAAACAAACGCTAACGCAATCGCAATCGCAAGCAAAAGCTCTTTGGAACGACGCGGCATGCACCGCACGACGAGCTCCGTTGCCACGCTCGGAATCCTGCTCGCGCTGACAGTCGTGCTTACACGGGTATAAAATCGTGGTGCCCCGGGGCGTCCAGCACCACGATGTCGTGCCTGGGCACCCGGAGGGTCTTGGTTCCTAGTTCCATCGTCACTCCCCGGGCCCGCTCCGATTCGTTCTCGTCCAGGAGCCAGCTGAGGTTGGCCTGCTTGGCCGCGTCCCGCTTGGAAACCTGGTTCGTCTGGACCAGGATCTGCCCCATGAGGGTGGACTTCCCGGCGTCCACGTGGCCGAGGATGACCATGGACAGCTGGGAGGTTTGGTTCCCGACAAAGGCCGGGAGGGGTTTGGGAACGTAGGGAGCCGCCGCCTGCCGCTTCGGGCTCTTGGTCCGGGGCTTGGCCGACCCCCCCGCCGTCTTTGCGGTGGCATTGCCGCCGTYTCCGCTGCCGCCCTTGGTGCCGGCCGCCGGCTTTCCCCATCCGGCGGGGGGCTTGGCGATTCCCGGCGGTGGACCCYGCGGCGGCGGGACCGAAACCGCAACSGCGGACGGCTTTCCCCACCCCGGTGGCGCCTTGGTCACGCCCACACCGGACGAGACCGTTGCGCCCGTGTTTTTCTTCGACCCGGRRGTCGATTTGGGAGCGACCAGCTGGGCCGTGTAGGTGGTCGCTTTCGGCTTTGCCGCTGCAACGCTCGGGGCGGGGGCCTGCTTCGGAGCGTAGTTGTAGTCGTAATCGTCGTAGTAATCCTCGTCGTCGTAATAGTCGTCGTCGTAACCATCATAATAGTCGTCTTCCACAAGGTTGCGGACGTTTCTGTGCCTCGACATGGTGTTATTTGATGGGTACTGCGTGGTGTGATAAAGTTGTGTGTGTGGTGTTCTGATAGTTGACGTTCGATGATTGCTAAGTGATGATTGTTAAGCGATGATTGAGGAATGTTGTGAGTGAGGCCTTCTCGGTTTGTTGTGGCAAGAAATTACAGCTCGTACTACGTGTGTTATWTATTCCTTACTGTATGGTTTGTATGTAGTATTCGTACCTACAGTACTGTAGTTGTAACCCACGGTACGGTATCTAGGTCCGTATTTTATCTATTATCTATTCAAAGTAAGGTATTTCGTATTCATGTCATCGAACGAAACGAAAAAAGAAGGCAARGARAGRAATGATGAAACATTTTCATTGTTGATACWTGAGAGCACAGAAGACACACGGCSGAGCAGCMGCCCAATGCKKTCTAAAAAGAAACAAAAAGAAAAATCCCGTGGYAAGCGCCTTGCCGAGCGCTAGTTGTAAACGTATAGCTTCAAGTAGTTCACGCTACTACTACTAGTGAATACAATRGATGCACCATGGCTGTGCTCGCGAGCGTAGCAAAAATGCCGTACGCGTGCGGAGTGCAGCATTGTGGAATGCTTCTGTTTGTTTACGCATCGCTTTAAACTAATCATAATGGATTGACGTGGTAGTTAAAAATACAGTTTGCGGTTTCGCCGTGGCAATGGTGTCCATCGGCTGCTGCTGGCCCCCCCATTGGAGCAAGGCATTGCCCCATGATTGGATCCGAGGAAGACGCCAACGGAAAGAAACCATCGGTGGAACGAAAGAATTCGGTAACTTCTTTTTCCAAAAATTGAACGAATGTTTGCCGACGATTGGTCGGGCCCGGCAAACAGCTCACTCRTGGAAAATAACTGCGTAGAGTACTAACTCGTTGCTTGTTCGTTCCTTAGTATTAGTCGGCAGAGGTTCTTCGGCGCTTCGACCGAGACGCGGACGACTCGCCGTTGGCATCGGCGTCGTCGTTGGATCCTCCCTCTCCCAGGCCGCGCTTTCCGGCGGCGGGGTCTGTTTGTTCCGTGGTCCCCGATTTCTGCCCCTCGTACTCGTCGAACCCGTCGTCTTCGCCCTCGTCGTCCCCGTCGTTTGCGTCGTCCTGGTTCAGGCCGGACGACTTCGGGAGCGTTTCGCTGCCGCTCGGGATCCCTTCCGTGTGTTTGCTGCTGCTGCTGCTCGCATCGGTGTCCGCAACGTTCGCCACCATGGCTTCTTCGTCGTAGAGGACCTTCGAGGCCTTCTTGGCTTCCTCGGATTCCAGGAGGACGTTGTGCCGCGCTACTACGGCTTCGGTTTCCGATCGCAGAAGGGTCATCATAGAAACCAGCTGGTCGTTTTCCCTGCGCATCTTGATGGCTCTGCTCTGGAAGTCTCGGTTCAATTTGTGCTCCCTGGCGATTTGTTGCTTGTAGCGGGCAACATCGGACCGCAGACCGACGAGGGTCTCGGACCGGTCCGATCGCTGGGTAGGTATCTGGTTGTGGATCCACACCAGGGAGTCCTTTTTGGCACCAAAGGCCCCGCAGGTGCCCCAGGCCACGGCGTGACCCGGTTGCTGGCCCAGCTGCGAGAGCAACAGCGGAACCCCCGGGGGAATTTTTGGGACAAAGGATGCAGGCCACTCGGCTACGGTGGAATGGTCTTGTTTCCTAGTGCCGTCCGTCTCTTTGTTGCCGTTGCCACTGCTGCTGCCGTTGTTCTTGCCGTTGCTAGTGCTCGAACCGTTGCTTCCGCCATCGGCCTTGATCTTGGAAATGCTTTCTTCCGCAGCCTTCCATTGCTGATCGAGATTGGTCCACTGCGCGTGAAGATCGGCCTGGTCCTCCTTGGATTTTGTTGCTGTGGGTGCTTGGGCAGCCGATGGGTTGTTCAGCCGGTGCCGGAGACAGAGCATCGTTTCGCGCACCATCTGGATTCTCACCCGCTGCAGCGCCACGAGCCGGGCCCGCTTCTGGACCAGTTCCTGCAAAAAAGCAACGCGGGATTCAAAGTCGTTTCGCTTGGTTTTGAGTTTCTTGGACAGGGCGCAAAAGTGGGCCCTCAGGCTCAGGTATTCTCCCTCGTATATCTCGCGCTGCGCCTCGCACTGCTGAATCTTTTGGCGGAGGATCTGCAGCCGCTTTTCTTCCTCCGGATCGATGCGGACGGGCATCGCAATGATGGGCATTTCTTTCCGGTTGAGACCTCCGCGCGCCTGTGAGTTGCTCTTGCCCGGTCCGTCGCCGCCCTGGCTTCCCGGCTTGCCRCTGTTGTTGCCTCGGTTGGTAAACATGTAGTACTGCTGGGCGTAGGCCGTGCACGCGTTGGAAAAGGCTTCCATGTGGCGGAGATCCCGTTCCATTTCGTCCTGTGTCAACGGCTCTAGGGGTGTGTTCGTGCCCGTGAATCGGGCCGACAACCCTCGAGCCAGGACGGCATAATTTTTGTCGTTCGGCTTTCTCGTTTTCATGGAAACCGTCGCGACATGCCGGCTGCTGGATTTTCGTTCCACCATGGCTGTTTTGTTTTGTTTTGTTTTGTTTTGTTTTGTGTTGTGTCGAAATGTGTTGCTCGTGCTACACCGAATGTGCTATCGAAATATCGCGGAACTTGTCTAAATCTCTGTCTGGCTGTATGGTTGTGTATCTCTCTATTTGTCTGTGCAACGAAGAGGTGTAGAGCGTAGGAAACAGGTTGTACATACAAGCATCCTTTGTGAGGATGCTGTTCAAATTCGCGAAACCACTGAACGCCCGAATTAAAAATAATGATTCAATTTATTCGATGCTTGCCTGCTTTCTTTGTTGGTGGGGATTGGAATAACGGCACAAAATCAATGTTGCACGSATATTCTCGGCGACATTCTCTGCTCGGCTTTGCTTTGTGCTCTGCTCAACTTACCAATGGTGCGTTCGATGCGATGTCGTTTGACTCAGGGTTTGTTAGATGGGCATCAACGTCGTTCCGCTTGATATTGATATTCAGATGACATGAACTCGGACGCTGGAGTAGAACGGGTACCAAGTACTCGTACTCGTACTCGTACTCGTACTCGTACTCGTTCTCGTACCGATCGATACCTTTACAGGTGCCAGTTACCGTGCATTAACTGGTAGGGAAAGTCGCAATGCACCTGTCCGCCCGCTATTTGTCTCAGACTATGAGTCCTACTCGTACCTACAGGCTACACAACCCTAAAATTAAAAGAAGAGTACCGTCCGAGCTCGTAAAAGTACCGTACTGCACATTACGAGTGCTCCCCCAACTCATACAGTACCGTACATATGTACGTACCCT